GAGTCTCAAGTCAAGCGCTTGCGTAGCTAGAATAGCTTGCTTGACTGCCAGGTTTCTACCTGCTTTCGGTGGTTTAAAGCCCCCCTGAACCCTGAAACCAAAGACCCTGAAGCTGCAGTCCCAAGATAACCCAAACCAATACCAGAATAGAAACGGTGCTTAAGCCACAAGCCCTTGAAAGCCGAGAGCCGCTGAACATGATATGCACAAAGGCACCTCCATGAGTACATTGAGGGCTTCGTTGTTGTCTTGCACGTTCGGCGCGAAGCCCTCGGCAGCTGCCACAGGCTTGGAGTTCAGGTCGGGGGGCTGACGCTTCAGGGCCAAAGCTTGGCGAGGGAGTGTGGTCGGTCTTGGGTTCCTAGGGGTCCGAGAAAGCTGTAATTACTGGCCAGAGCTACTATTCCGCTTACCTAACTTACCGCATTCAACTACAACCCCGTGACATAATTCGAGGCTTCGCAATCCCGCTGCTTGGGATGGATGTCGACTTTGCACGGAACCCTAACCGACCGTACAGCTAAGGCAGCGACGCCCTCGTCACCAACGTTGCATGCATCCTGGGATGTCTTTCCAGGCCATCTTAAATCCTTAAGGCTGGGAAGAAATCCGGTTTGCGAGGGTCCTGATGGATTTACCGTGGTTGGAGGTCTGTGCAACTTACTCAAGAGCTCTAAACAAGCAGGATCTGGAAGAAGATCATACAGCGTCTCCTGGCCGTACTTCTTCTTGATCACACTCTTCAGGGTGTGGTAGACTTCTGCCCCAATCTCCATTGCATTCTTGAAGGAGCTGGCGCCTCAGTGCATAATATCTCTCTAGGAGTATTTGACCGGAGCCCAAACGAAGAGGGTCTCCCAATTCCCCGTGCCACGATCCTACAATGTCCCACTATGTAGGGCCCATACAAAATATGGCATCTCTACACGTGTGAACACTTTTCTGCCTGTCGCTGCAGCCTGGTTTTCCTGGAGTGATACGACCGGCCCGGATAAAAGCTAGGCAACCTCAACACAAAACCGCCACAGCCACTGGCCCTACCCTACGGGTCCAGAGTCTGCTTACCAAATTCCGGTGGAGGTACACGCTGGAACCGCGGGGTCCCATGTTCAGAGCTTCATCATGATTTTGCGATGTCAGGGATGTGGCCACAATTTGGGGTGTGGGGTTTGGGTCGTTCTCTTTTTGTTCAGAGGCCGGGTGGGTGCAGCAAACAATTGCGAAGAGTCACCAGTGGGGAGGATCATGAACTCCTGGCAAGCTAGCCGGTTTCCAGCATGGCTGCCGCCGTTGATCACGTTGAAGGAGGGTACCTTGTCGGCCAGTGGCGATGCATAACGATCGCGATACAATAATTTCATGACCATTTCCACCATCCATGTATAAGTACGGAATCTTCGTCTCTCGAAACGAAGAGTTTGGTTGATGGCCCCCCAAAAAGGGTCTTGGAGTCGGACCTTGCATCGGGCTCCGGATGGCCAGGAAAGGGATTCATGGGGTTTAGATGGGTTTAGGGTTTAGGTCTTAGGTGTTGACTAAACTTTTGCTGAGAAGGACTGTATGCAGGTTTCTCTAGCTTCTTACAGCAAGACCTCAATGAATGGACAATGGGTTGCCCTAACAATGAGCGCAGGGTTTTGGCGTATTTTCAAGCACACACTATAAGGAATGTATGCACACAGGTCTAGAGGCTTTGGCTGCCTTTGCAAGGCTTTGGAGGCGTTGCTGCCTCCACAATGCATTGCGCAGAATATGATATGCTATAGAGTCATGACATGATAACAACATTGTATGGAAACAGAACCGATAATGTAAGATTTTATGATGCTGGCTCTTCGGACCTTGGGGTGGAGGTACCCTGGGCATCTCGATTCGGAGAACTGAAAGATGTGAAACTAAAACCCGGGGGTGCTTACGAACTCCAAAACCAACCTCCTTCCTGAACCCTATTGTAATGAAGCTTGTAGAGTCAGATCTGAAAGCCCTGAAGCCACTTTCGAGATCCTGATAAGACCCTGGTTCCGAGGTCCGGAATTCTCAGCTGTTCGGACTCTATGCGGCCAGCGAGGTCATAGGACGGGCTACCAATGCACGTTACGCGTAAGCATCACGCAGAGCTAAAGTGCATTGTCTGAAGTTGCATGGCTTACTATGGAGTCGTGTGAACTGTTTACGACTGTAAGAGGCAGTTCGAGAATCACCAACTGCTGAAGGGGTCCACTGTACGAGTAAGCATAACTCCAGAACATCTCCAAGTGATCCCTGTTGAATTTCAAGTATGAACTGAGGCACTCTCAGGCTGCCGTACTGCTTGGGCTGCAAGGTCTGTAGCAGCTTGCAAGTTTCGGCAGCCACACAAACGTGCCTAGAGGCGCTTAGATCGCGCAGCCAAGTAAGCTGTACGAATGGTTCGGTCTACAGGGTTTAGCAAAGCCTCGGGTCTAGCAGGGGCACCGGCAAACCCTCAACCCCGCTGGTGCCCCTGTGCAACAGCTAGAACTGCCAGAGCCGGAGCGCAGGCATCACAAACCGATCTGTCGGCTTCCCTGCCAGCATCGCGATGTACCTTGTTGGCTTCACGTCTTGGTATTTAGATCCAAGTGGAGGCTACTGGAACCGGATTCTGGGCCGTGCTTCAAATCATGCTCCCTGAGAGAAGTAGGAGGTTTTCTTGAAGGCCATGCAGAGAAGGAGCATCAACGATAGAGCACACTTGGGGCAGGATCCTCATAGGAGAGCCGATTGGGTAGAAACTTCTTAGCAAAGGATATTAGCTTGATTCGAGTTCTTGTCATGCCTGGTTTTACAAACTGTTGAGAAAGTGGTTGCAGTGAGGACCACCAAGCAGTATCACCCAAGAGGCTTCCAAGGGCTGTTGAGGCAATGCTCATTACATGTTGGTCGGGATCCTTGACGAGGGAGCCGTAGTCAGGAGGTCCTGGATTTGGATTTGCAGGAACCTGTATTGCAACCCAACACAGCAAGAGAAACAGAGAAAGAGAGAGCGAGAGAGAGATACCTTTGCCCGGGCCCCTGGCTGATAGAGTGGCACCTGCATCGCTGCAGCACCAGCGCGGCATATGGCCATGGAAACCTGATTGAACAAGTGGATATTGGGGCAGAGAGTTCAGGCTTGGATTAGTGGGTCAAGGGTTTGAGATTCAAGTGCGCGTGGCAACAAATCGTTGCCTACATAGATACGGTTCTGAAACTAACACAAGAGTTAACGGTAGTCACGAGACAAAAACAAGCAGTCAGTCAGTATTATTACCTCATGCCAGGATTGACAGCTGAACCCGAACACGGCTGCAGGCGAAATCACGCAAGAGAGCTTGGGATGAACCCGGACGGTTTGGGCGTCATTCCGTGCTTCTCGAATTTCTCTGCCCTAGCCTGATCATTAAGGCCCCTACACTAGTTATAGAGCCCTTATTATGACCCTCCTTGGTAGGAACCCTTTAGAGGAACCCTCTGAAGGATCCTGTGTCACCCAGGGCTCGCACGGCCAAGATGGCGTTGGCGCCCAGTTTCGACTTGGACCTGTAGTGGCAAAGTGGACGAACTCCGGCAGTAGCTCGGGTCGCTCAGACTACGGGTAGTTTGGTATGACATGTATAGATAAAACATTACATATATATATATATATATATATTTTTTTTTTGGCATATGTATGTGTGTGAAAATAAATAAAAGGGTAATTAAGCTAGGGAGGGTCACGCTTAGGTTCGCGGACTACCGTCCCACCATATTCCCCGATAACCATTCTTACCAACATATCCTATACCCACACCACCCAAAAGACCTTAACAATCCTCATAACCTATCATAACCAAATACCCTAACCCTCTCTAACCCACAATCCTATAACCACACCACCAAAAAGACCTTAACAATCCTCATAACCTATCATAACCAAATACCCTAAACCATTCTTACCAATACTCCTATCAACCCAAACCCCCTCTCACCAAAACTCCTAACCCCCTAATCTTACCAAAACCCCACCATCCACGAACCCCCGCGTGAAGCTCTTCTGATTTCGTGTCCGAGCTCTACAACATCCAGATTGTGCGCCCTGCGAGTTTATCCATAAGCAGGACTTCCGATTGCAAGTGAGCGCAAAAGAGTTTGCCAGTGAAAGCCATCAGCAACACATTTTTATAATCCGAAGCCTGTGAAATATCAAGCCTTTCGCCATAGATTGAAGCAATGTCCGACGCAGAGCCCGATTACAAGGCACTTTACTTCGCTGAACTTCGTAGAACACAAGCCTTGTCATTTGTCATTCGTGATGGGTGGCAACACAGCATCGTCCTTCCTCCCAATGCAGAAGCACAGGCGCTTGAACAGTTCATTGTGGATGGTGAAGTGAAGCTGTATGAAGCAAAGAAGCAACTTGCCTTTCACAATGCTCGTGATTTCACTGTGATGGCTACATACAAGAACCAGTTTGCCACCATCATTGCCGAGCCGTTCTGGACGGTCAAAGCCATCAAGATTGCAATCAGCTCTGCCTTCCGTTGCCCTCAACCAGATGCTCCACGGCATATCGGGCGTGTCTTCTACTTCTTTGAGGGCATCGGTGAGCTGACAAATAACTCCAAAAGGCTTTCTACTGTCATTCCGAGAAGGGGATGCGTCGTCCACGTGCTGGATGAGGATGAGAGAGTCGTAGAAGGTGCTCCTACACAGATAGATGACCTTTCCTATCCGGATGCCTGTTGTTTGCGAAGCAAGCTTGTTCAGAAGCACGTTGAAAGTTATATGCGGAATAGTGCGCCTGTTGCCCCGAAGTCCAAAGCCAAAGCGAAGGCTGTGATTGCTCCTGCCGAAGGCAACTAGAAGGCTTGAAGCGGAAAATTACGTTGCAGACTGGTTGCAAGTGTTGCTGAGCGCGAAGTGCTGTGAATTTCATTGAAGCACGTGAGCAAATATATGCCTTTGTAGCAACTATTGCTTCAAGACTTTTGAAAGCGTTCTTCATAGTCTCCTGTGTCGCTATGGCTCGTGAAGGGTATGGGTCTTCTGCTGACAGGTTGCAGGATGCCAAGCACTCGTCAATCAGTGATGTAGAAGCAAAGGCGGTTCAAAAGATTGGTCGCTGGTGGAAACGAGCTGTCAATGAGATGGAGATTGAGATTACGGTGCATTTCAGAGATATGCGAGTGTCAGGTGAGAACCCACCTCCAATCTACTGCAATATGTTCGTGCTCAATTTCAGGGCGGATATGTCTGTGTCCAGCTTGGGCGTAGCCATCTTAGAGAAGTATGATGAGCTCATCCCCACGGACGGCGATTACCTGCACTTGGCAAACCGAAGGTTCAAGCAGATGCTCTTCAAGGGCTTGGTTATTCCATCCCTTGGCGATTATGGCACACCATTGACCGACTCAATTCGTAGTTTGAGGTCGCTTGGTTTCACGAAGGAGAACGATGTGACGATGCACCTCTACAAGGAGCATTCCCCTGAGTTCGCCAGTTTCTTTCAGAAGCATCCGTCCCAGTCGTAAGCACAGGCTTTTGTAGCTTCTTCCAGAAGCACCTGCCCAGTCGTAAGCACTGGCTTTTGTGGTGCAGAGGGCTCACCGAAGCGCCTTTGCAGTAAAACAGCAATTGCGTTGTAGACTGCAAGTGAGTGCGTGAGAATTCCACAGTTTCCTATGTGCCTTGTTGAGCATTTGATTTGACTTGAAGCTTTTTCCAAGCCAAGACCAATTCGTAAGCCTTCTCCTCTTGCTGTTGCCCTAAACGCAATGACGAGCACGAGGGACACCGAAAAGAAGCTCAAAGATGTCTTCGGGCATATGCTTCCACCCAAGATGTCATCAGACTCAGATGACCCCCAGCGCGCAGTGCTGATGAACGAAGTTATGAAGCAGAAGCAGACGATTGAAAAGCTCGTTGCCCGTCTCGCCTTGCACGGCGAAACCGTCAGCGATGACGGTGCCTCTAACCCGACGGTTTCTGGAAGTGCTGGCTACGGTGGTGGTGCACCGCCACCAGACGACAACGACAACGATGACAGTGATGACGACGACAAGTCAGACAAGAAGCGAGGAAATGGACGAGGCGACCGAGGTGGTGACGGTCGCAGACGCCCCTTTGATTCCAGCACCTACGACCTTGAAATTGCGGTTGTCACCGAAGCTCACGCGCAAAGCTTCAAGGTCAGAGTGAGCGAATGGACTTTCCTTTCCTCGTTGAAGAATGTGATTTATGGTGCGCGTCCAGCCTTTCACCCTTCTTGCCAAGAGCTTCTTCTCAATGGCAACCAACTTGCTGATGAGGAAATGTTGCTTAAAGACCTAGGCAACCCGCGCACTATCCAGCTTGAAGTGGAGTCGGATGGGGACAGCTCCTACAACATTGACATCCGCGTCCTGAACCTTGCGGATATGCAGTATCACAATTTCAAGGTCAATCACTACAACACCATCAGGAGCGTGAAAGAGATGATGCAAGGACGTATTCAAATCATCAGCGTAGAGATGGCGTTGCTCTTCAACGGCGACCACACGCGCAACGAGCGGGAGCTGTTTGACGAGCTTGAAATTCCTACGGATGGCACGGGCGTCCTTCACCTCGCCTTCCTGATGTTTGGCAGTGGGAAACGTGGCAGAACAAGCATTCAGGTGACCCCCGAAGAGAACGACAACCCACTCGTCGCCTCTATCATCCAAACCTTCCAGCAAAAATGGGAGATGAAGGACTTTGAAGCTATGGCAATTTCAGATATCGTCAGTTTCCAAGACTTGGAGAATATGAAGAATGCGGTGCAAGGCGGAGGGCACGATTACAAGGCGCAGAGAGTGTTTCGCTGTCTGCCCCACATCAAGGAGTTGGAGGACGGTTTGTAAAACCCCTTTTCCGGTTTGTAAAACCCCTTTTCCGGTTTGTAAAACCCCTTTTCCGGTTTGTAAAACCCCTTTTCCGGTTTGTAAAACCCCTTTTCCGGTTTGTAAAACCCCTTTTCCGGTTTGTAAAACCCCTTTTTCGGTTTGTAAAACCCCTTTTCCGGTTTGTAAAACCCCTTTTCCGGTTTGTAAAACCCCTTTTTCGGTTTGTAAAACCCCTTTTTCAGGACTTGAACGAGAGGCTGTCTCTCGTGCTTCGCTTCACAGAGCAGAACTTCAAGGCATCTTTCGCAGAAGTGTTCTCTGACAAGAAGGCTTTTGAGACTTTCCTTTCGCAGATGGAGGGCGCAAAGCGTGCTATGGCTACTATGGTAGTGCAGAGCCAACCTGTTCCACCGACCGGCTAAGCTGTCTCTTTCTTTGACGCGCTTGCACAGAGCGTTGATTGAATGCCACTCAACCGACTTGATGCGCAGACCTTTTTCGCAGTGAGTGAAATGTCGTTGAGTGTGCGCACCAGCAGATTTGAGACCAGTTTCGGCAGTTTGTGCAGTGCGGACGTCCCCTAAATCCCTAAACCCTAAACCCTTTGAGAACGGCTACTGTGTGCGCGACAGGTGGAGCTCTACAACAACGACGCTTATGCCGAGAACTACCAGACTTCGGTGCGCCCTTTCCGGTGTCTAGTGGTTCAGGGTTTTCGGGGTTGGGCTGGGGTTAGTTTCGGGTTGCTCGGGTTTCGTTGTGGTTGTGTCGTGTTTCCCTAATGGCTCAAACCGCGCGTGAGAAAAACCCTAGAACCCCCCTAGGGTTTTTCGGTTCCCTATTCCCCCGAAGCCATTTTATCTCAAAACCGGCTCAAAAAACATAAAATCAAAAATACAGCATCCGGTGTAGTAAAAAACGGTGTTTTAAGCACCAAATCCGATACAAACCTGCAAAAAAATCCAACCTACGCCAAAACATATAGCAAAACATATACCAAAAAAAGCAAAACAACAAAACACATCAATATTTTGATACAACATTTTTTTTCAACTCCTCACCTCCTCTCGTCCAAAATAATTGTTATAATAATTATTAAAACAATTATTTTCATTCCTCAACCTTACTCGCCGTTATAACCGCCATATTCTCCATACTATATTTTTGATTAGGAAGCATTTTAACCTTTCCCCCTTTGGCTTCCTTAATCCGTTGCTTGCTTAACCTTTTCCTTTCTCTTAATGCCGTTGCGTAATCAGGGTCTTGCATTCTCAGCTTATAATACAACCTCTGATACAGCGCCATTTGCTCCCTGACCTCGTCCAGTGTTAAATCCTCGGGCTTCTTCATTGCAGTCATTTTATGCTTACTATATATAAGCGTTTTGTCTTTAAGGCATTTAACAAAGACCAATATAACCAAAATCAAAACAGGAGACTAAGGAGAAACCATTTAAAGAAATAATAACAATATATTTTAATCTAGATTATCATATGACTAGAAAGGCTATCCGTGACAATATTAAACACCTAAATAACAAGAGACAACGATTAATAGAAACAAAAGCACCTAAAAACGTTATTACCAAAGTTAATCAAATTGTTGATTTATATGAGAACCGCCAACTTTCAATTTTCAAAACCGCCGAAAAACTCATCAACGATATGACAACGGGAACTCAAAAAGAAAAAACAAGAGGCATTAAAAAAGCTGAAAAAGCCATAGAAAAGTTTGAAGCAAAAGCCCCGTTATCGGAACGAATGGAAGAAACAGCCAAAACGGCTAGGAAAGGCAAAAAAAGAAAGCAGGTTTTGACCAAATTTGTATCCAAAACAAAGGAGCTTTTCAAAAATCGCAAAACGTATTCCATTAAATATATGCTTCTTTCAACGCAGAACCGCTCGGGAAAAAAACGAGCTTTTGAAGTCAATGGCAGAAATTATTATCCATTACTTAATCCAGCACAGAGGGAAGCCCAAGTAAAAGCAAACGATTTTATAGAGACTGTCATAAAACGGAGAATTACAAAACAATTTGACAAATTCCTTTTTAAGCGCCTTATGTTGATATTAAGAACTGATTCAGAATTTAACGAGATGGCTCGGGGAGAGATGTATCAATACATTGACGCTATAAGAATTGAAAGTGCCAACATCGCAGAAGGTGAAGCTCAACCGCCAGAAAATCAAAACTTACGAGATGCTACAAACATATCCATATATAACAAATATATAGAAACTGAGATTGACCCCAGCTACTCAACAATAAAAGAAGCACTCGCAAAAAAGCACTATACCGAAAACGAATGTTGGATAAATTCACTTCTAGACCACTACCCCGACCTTATGAGACACAAGCGGGGCTCGCTATCCAAAACCCTAACCCGACAACATATGCTAGAACTTCTACACACAACAGAAGAAGAGTTTAAAAAAAAAGGCGCAACCACGACGCAAATGGAAAACGTCTTCAAGGCATTTAACATAACAGCACGTCTTTTTGACTTCAACGGGAAGCTTATTTATTCATTTGACCCGCCCAATTACCATATGCACACGAAAGGCTTCTTCGGGCTCATCAAGAACAACCACGTCTACACCATAAACAGAGACCTGAAAAGCATCAAAAGAACAATGAACGCGAACATCAACGCCAACCAAGAAGACTTCAAGCTTAAAATCAGTAGCAACTATTATATAAGCGACCGAGAAGAGCCCCCTGAATGCCATATGATAGAGACAGCAAACGACCTTTTGAAATACACAGAAAAACCAGAATATACATTAGTTCATAAAGATAATGACCTCGTAAAACTCTTCCACGAACTAAAACTAGCAGGTTACGAGCCCTTCATAAAATATCAAGCGGGAACGATGACAGAATTGAAAGTAAATTGGAAGATAAAAAGCACGAAGCAAGAAATCACCTACACAATCAAGCTACAAAACTTATCAACCCACAGCATAGACGAAGACGTATCGGTAGAAAACGAAAAGCTGTTCAACGATATGAACAGGGAAATGTTTAACTTCAACAAGAAAATCTTCAACGATGCCCATAAGTCCTATTATAGCCAGACCGACATAGACATTTTAGACGAATGCAGAACCATAGTGCCAACCGGATATTTCAAGCACGACTTTTCTAACAGAACAATAGAAATTGACAGAACAAAAGCTTTCACAAAAGCCTTTTCCAAAATTACAAATATACCGGTTTTTACCGAGTTTGACATATGGAAGCCTTACCAAAACGAAGAATTACAAGGTTTAAACCTATACCTTGTTGAAGCATCAACTGGCAATCTTTTCTTCAACAAAAAATTCAATCTGGTATATGGAATGTTTCTTAAACGCCTTGAAGAAAAAACCTTCAAAATACACTACCACAAGCAACCGTCGCACATTCACGAAGTGGATTATGAAAATATCGTGTCCGAGCTCTGGAACACCAAAATAAGCGACAAGCCCAAACAGGACGCCAAAATCAAAAAAACAATAGCCAATGTAAATTTCGGATTATTGGAAAAATCCACCAACAAAAAGCAAAAGTCAATATCCTTCAACAGTCTAGAAGAGGCGCTATATTACAGAAACATTTATGAGGGTAGGGTGTTTGTCATTGAAGAAGGCATCACGGAAGACGACGAAGAAGGAAATATTTTTATGAAA